CTGGACTCTCTCCAGGAGCTCCATGTCTCTCTTGTACTGGGGAGCCCAGCACTGGACACAGGACTCCAGGTGGGGCCGCCCCAGGGCTGAGTAGAGGGGCAGGATCACCTCCCTCGACCTGCTGGCAACACTCTGCCTCATGCAGCCCAGGATACCCTTGGCCTTCTTGGCCCCAAGGGCACACTGCTGGCTCATGGTCAACTTGTTGTCTGTCCACCAGGACTCCCAGGTCCTTCTCTGCAGAGCTGCTCTCCAGCAGGTCAGCCCCCAGCCTGTCCTGGGGCATGGGGTTATTCAGCATATTCAGCAAGAAAAAAGCCCAGTATTATCTTTCCACAGGCTGTTTTGCCAAGACTTGATTGGAAGCAATATGGCTCAAGGCAGGAGGCTTACTTTTGACATGTGAATTTTTCTCTCTGAGGCTTATCTTTTTTTTTTTTTTTTCGTGCTCCCCTTTGTAAATTGGGAAGCAATTCAGCCGAGAGCCCTGAATGAAGAGTGCGTCTGTTCTTTCCCCTTTTGACTGGGATTGTGTTGAGATTACTCAATGGTGCCTCTCCTTAGCATGAAATACTTCATGGACAGGTGTCTTGAAGCACCCACTTTGCCAGGGATTCTGGTTTCTTTTAAAAAAGATTTTTTCAAAGCCGTAAAGATAAAAGGGTTTAAAATACAAGGAATGACTTCCTTAACATAAATGTCTCCTACTTCTTATTTCAGCTAGCTAAGACTCAGCTTAGGTGTTGAGTGAGAAAGGAGAAAACAAACTAGTCTCTCACATCTTCCCTGTTTAGCACACTTGGTTTGCATATTACCCCTTTCTTTCCATAGGGAATTCTGTTTTGCTCTGCTGCTGGGTACAACACAAGGTGGTTTATGAGTATTTGAGTTAGGCTTGGATACTGCTCTCCAGTATCCAAAAAGCACTGTAAAAGTTTCAAGACCTCCTGATGAAAGTATTGTATAGGTGCTGTTGTTATCCTGTAATTTTGTCAGGATCGTGCTCCCATCTCCGAGGGATAATCAGTGTTTCCTTCACAAACATCATCTCTTCATCAAGGTTAGTTTCTCCCAGCCTTTCAGCTTTCAGGTCTTCCTCTATGTATATCCAGCCTCTATCACTGCATGATTAGTGCTCTTCAGATACAACCATTTCTACAGTATCTTTATAAATTCCCTCATGATTACACATGTCTTTTAAATGAATCCCAGGCCTTCAACTGCAATGCAGGAATATTTTATATTTATTATTGGTACCACAGAAGCCCATAAGAGTTGTAAAAGATTATGGAGAAGGTTGATCAGCATTAATACATCATAAATTTTGCGTATTTTCACTTTGTTACGTGTACCAAGCAACTGTGCTGGACCCCAGCAGCTTTGGGGCTTTACAGCTGTTGTTGGGCCCTGCTGGAGCCCAGAGAAGGCTAGCATTGGGCAACTGGAGTGTCCAGGCTAATGTTTTCCACAGAGCTTGCAGCAAAGGATTTAACTGATCCCCAGGAGCTTTTAAAGTATAGTGGGGTGCAGTCATAGTTGTGATATCATGAGGCTTTTGGAGCTGCACAGGCCAACTAAAATTGGATGGTGAGACTTTGGAAATCCTCATTCAAGAAGATGCTGGAGAACAAGCGTAGGATGTTTTCTTCAGCCATTTATTCCTTAGGCTAGGGGGAACATTCAGCACATGATTACAACAGAGATGCAATGAACCAGTAGTTCACATAAAATTGTGCTACTTACAAAGCAGAATGAGTTTTCTCACTGGCCTCTATAAAAAGTTTATTCATGGTAGTGCTAAGCATGTTTTCCAGGAATTCAGCATAACAGACTGTCCTATTTCCTTATCACTTGATGATAGTTCATTCATTTTCTGTCTTCAGGATTAGACATAATCGCTCTATTCCAGGACTCTGAGATTTCTTTTTAATTTTATCCTGTTAAGAGCCTTTGACAAAGATAAAAATGCTTTTTTGTTTGTTCCACAGGATACTATGGTGATGGTCTGAATGCTATCATTGTGTTTGCTGCATGCTTCTTGCCAGACAGCAGTCGAACTGATTACAACTATGTCATGGAAAATCTTTTCCTGTGAGTGATATGTGAACAATGTGACAGAGTCTTTTGAGTTAGTACTCATACATATGTAGTGAGAGATAACCTGTCTTTAATTAAGAGGTAATTTGGTTCATTAGAAGGAGAGTGATCTGAATGACAAATAAAATAGCAATTTTAGGTAAATTGCTCAGTGGAGTATTATCTAGGTATTCTTTACCTACTTGCCCCCCAAAATTAAGGTGTATTTGTCAGGACCAAATCTGACTATAATAATTCCCTAAATGGCAAGGGATATAGTATCTCCAGCTTCTTGGATCTACGATTGCACTGTTTCACCAGTGATTTCCAGCACTTGCTGAGAACAGTCAGCAGGGACTTAGATCACCAGATTGTTTTTCACTGTCATTGTATATTATATATTATTGTGATGTACCACTGTGTATTATATTTTGAATATATGCTGTAGTTGTGTCTAGGAGTCACAGGGGCATTTGCTGACACTTGTTTTAAAAATACAGGATAAATGACAATTTCTGATACAAGCAGCTCAAAGTACTTTTCCTGACTTCAGCTGCTCCTGAATAAGTTATTAAAAATGGCAGGGGCCTGTTGGATTGGGCACAAATTTGGCCAAGTGAACTCAAATTTATCACAGCTTTTAACAAGCAAAATTACTCCTAATAGCAACTTAGTTCGGCAGACAAAAATTGTGAAGGCAGCAACTTCCCTGAAGTGCCTGCAGCTAGTTCTACTTACAGCTGTTAAAAAATCAATAATTGCGGGGCCATGTATGCTAAAACCCAATAAGTCAGTCCCAAAGCTACTGGAGGCCTGGCCTTCACCGTTTGCTGCTTATGAGGTGCCAGACCTCGCTGCAAGAGCGCAGACCCAGGCCCCACAAAATTCCAGCCCTTGAAGATGTGCGTGGTGGTAGCCAAAGTCCTCAACATTGTATCTACGTGTGAAAACAGAGAGCGAGCAGTTCTGTTCCAGGTCAGACCAACTGCTAGCGTTTGTCTGGTAAAGAGATCTCCAAGTCCCCCGTGTCATCTACAGCACCTGATTTACACAATGCCCAGTGATTTAGAAGGGAAGAATTACTACAGTAGTTTTAACTTGATAACTAGAAAATAAATCTGTGAATAACCATGACTGACATTAAGCAGTTATTCTTTAACTTCACTGAAGACCCCTTTTCAAAGATAGAGTTGTAGTTAAATGGACTTCACAGAGGAAGACTTTTCAAGCCTTGAGAGGCTTTTCCACTTCACTTGAGGATATTGCCAAAGTATGTTTTACATCCTACTGTCTCTGTTGGGGTAGTATAACAGAGAGTTCACTTTGGCTGTGCACCTTCAGCTTATTTTAAGACTTAGAGATTCATGATTCTCTCTAGCACAAGAACCAGAAAAGAAAAAGTCAGATTGTCCCTTTCTTTTACATGTAAGCCTATTAATTGCTTTGAAATAGAGGGAGTGTGACAATTTGCAACATAGCCAATAACTGATATATATACTTATATATATGTGAACTCTTCTATTAAGTCATATAGGGATATGGAGACACCTGCAAATCATTACATCTCCTCCCTTTTTTTATATAGCATGTTTCTCATAGATAATCCTGCAACTGCAGTGTATAAGCCCCCCTCTAGTTTGTGATTAATGACTCTCCTCAACCGTTCATGTGTTCTGCAGTTTCATTCCCCTCTGGATACCCCTTACATTTCTAGTTACCTTGTTCCTATCTGTTACCTTGAGTAGTCCTGTAAAACTGTCTTGCCAAAACTCAACTTCTGAGACAGCATCTTCTAAAGCACTCCTTTTGGATGCTGCAGATCCACACAGAAAATTCTGCTGTTTCATTTGTGCCTGCCTGATGCAGTCTACACATTATAAGTTTCTTAAAGGATCACAACTCAGAAATGCTACACTTTGAAATTCAAAAGCAGTGCTTTTGCTTTCAGAGTGAGTGAATTGTTCTAGTCAATGAGAAAAACTCTTTACATCTTTTCAAATAATAAGTTACCAGCATGAATTAGGTAAGGTTTGCAAGAGAGCTTGACATCCCTCTGCACTTGCAGAGAGATCTAGACTGCACAGTGAATCCAGATCGCACCCTGCAAATGCAGGACCTGCTGCCCATTGCCACTGCTGACAGGGCTTTGTTTCCTGTGAAGCAGCCGTGGCCTTGGCGGTACAAGCCCACACTTTGATTCTCGCTGACAGACAGGAGCCTTTACAAACGTGGGGCAAAAGTAGGCAATGTGCAAGTGGAAGGTGAAAAAGAGAGCAGTGAAAAGCACTGAGTGAGTAGTGATTTAGATGAGGTTCATCAAATGGAATTACTCAATTAGTTGCTACCTACTTTGTCTGTTTAAAATAACATTCCCTGTGGTGAGAATTTGATTTCCTACTCTTGTTTTAAATTCCTCAAAATGCAGTTTCTTTAAGGGTCAGGTTAGATCCTGAGTTATTCACATATACCTGTGCAAGGAGCTATTTTGCGCAGGGATAGAGCTGCCTTTTGTAATGAGAACTCTTAAGCATTCAGTTTTCTGAGGTGAGACTCGGTGATGTTTCACTGCAGTTTTTACATAGGCATGCCTTGGGGCTGGATAGGAGAGAGAGCAATTTGCATGTTCTTATGATAAATTCCTTCCAAGTGAGGTAGAGGCTAGTGAAACAGGGCAGAGCATCTGCTTATATAGTCCCAGACAGAAATTTAAAGCTACCCTTTCATTCGACTGAACACCCTGCTCTCCTAGGTGACATGGGTTTGGCCCTGGGAATGCTGGTCTGTCTGAATACTCATTGTAGAGCTGAAGAATTTGATGAGTGTTTGGAGTGTTTTGCTCACAAAATGAAGTGATGCTATGGAGTTGGCATCCCCTCAGAAGGCAGGTTGATGGACAACTTCTATTAGCTTTGAGATTCAAAAGGTTTGTAGTTGGCAGTCACAGACTCAGTAACAGTGATCTGAGGATCACAAGAATTATAAACAAGTTTCTTCTCCTGACCCTTATTATTTTTGCTTTGAACAAACATAATGATTAATACTGATGAGGAGTTTCTCAACGGTTATATCTCAGAAGTTCTGGGAACTTCACATAGTCCTGTCATGCTCTCCCTTGTAAAATTTCTTGATTGAATGTGCTTATAAGGGGAAAAAGCCACCTATGAGGTTGGAAGACTTATTATGAAACTATCTTTGGAAGGAAACCACATTTCTGTGAAGATGCAGATAAGATTATGATTTTCTAGTTATAATTCTATGGGAAGTATGGGGAACAGTTGTAAATGTCTGCTTTCAGTTTAAACAAAAAAAAAACCTCACCTTGTTGTAAATTCTTTGGTCTGCATTGATGTATGCATAGTAGACTGGTTTTGATTAAGCTTAAATGGATAATGTAAAAAATGTGCCCACTTCTGTTCTTTTTTCAGATATGTAATAAGTACCTTAGAACTGATGGTAGCTGAAGACTATATGATTGTCTACTTGAATGGAGCAACACCAAGAAAGAGGATGCCTGGACTGGGTTGGATGAAAAAATGTTACCAAATGATTGATCGACGGTAAGCAGTATTTTCCTTTCTGATCCACAGCCATTATTTTAAACATTGTCCATTTCTGTTGCTGCCCTGTATGACAGTGTTCGCTGTATATGATCTTTCGGTATGTTTTGTATTTTTTTAAATGAAATGTGTTTCTTTTTTACTTAGATTAAGGAAGAACTTGAAATCATTTATAATTGTCCATCCGTCATGGTTTATCAGGACAATTCTGGCTGTAACACGACCTTTTATAAGGTATGTAGTGAATATTAGTTATTTTCTTTGTCCCTAAAGATACTGAAGCTCCTAAAAGGTACTCATTAACAGCCATGTTTGATCATTCAGTGGGACATTTTACAGTTCATGTTGGGATTTTGACAGCTGAAGTTGACTTTCCACTCTTCTGTTTGGGGGGAAAAAAAAAGTTGAATGATGAATAAAGGGAGTAAGCAGTGCATATGTTGTAGGCATGATATCATATGCCCATATTTGCATGCAGAACTGGGAATTTATTCCTTTAAAATTGTCTTTGTTTATTCTGAGCCCAGCTAAAATGCATGTGGGAAGGGGGTCTGGACAAATCACCTCATTAAAAAAATCCTGGCTAGAGGACAAGATTAAGCTACAATTCTGGTTTAAAAAAAAAAATGTTGCTCAGCCAAGAAAACTGCCAGCACCCTGAGCTGTTTGAAGGCTTAGGAGGCTAGGTTCCAAAAAAGTTTTTCTACCACCAAAAATAATTCCTTGATCAGTAAAAAAGCAAAGAAATGCTTCAACAATCTGCAAGTTCTTCAGTGTCTGAAAAAGATAGACAAGTATGCAATTGAAATACTGCAATCAGAGAGAGTAGGTTGACAGGTGTGAAAAAGAGTTGCTTCAAGCAAGAAAAGATGCATCTCATCTACACAAGCCACACGGAGAATAATGTGCATCATGACAGAGTGCAGAGAAATCTGCCCCCAGACTACAGACGAGACCGCCAAAGGTGTCAGTCATAGGGTGCTCTGTCCTGGCAGGGGAATCTGGACATGGGGGAAACAAATGAGTTCTTCCATTGCTGCCAAAGTGTGACAGGCAGAATATCATAACAAAGCTTATTCTTTCTGATATGGTGACTTTAATACCAAGCAGAAAGTGACAACTAAGAAAAATGGAGTAACAGGGAAGCAGTAATTAGAATTATCAATAGTGGTCATGGGAGATTCACTGAGTTGCATTTAGTGTCTGAGATAATTCTATTGCCACCTTATTTCCTCCCAGAGAAAAGGTGGGCAGTAAAATTTAAAAAAAAATCAAAGATGCAACACCTGTATCAATTCATGAGTCATTTATTCTGGATGGCCATACTGAGTGGCAGTGACCACAGGCATTGCATTGCCAAACTGAGGAAAAAGTTGACTATAAACCAAGTGTGGCGAAGAGAATTAACAGTACAAGACTTGAGACAATAGGACCAATTAAAAATTCAATTTCAACCAAGAAGTAGATTGAGTTTCTGTTGGAAGTAAAAGAAAGTGAAGTACAAATGGGAGCTGAAAAAAGATGGGCAGTACATGTGGCCAATGTGACTTAGGCTGAAGAAGAGTTGAGGGTGGGAGGTATTTGAACCCTCACTGAGGACAGAAGAGAAAACTGAATAAAAAACTTAGGGATGCAAAAAAAAAAGATAGATTGGTTGCAAAGATAGAAGAAAAAGCTGGATTCAGGTCCTAGATATCATTTATGGATCAGATATTCACACTAGAGATCATTTTAGCTGTGTTAGGCAGGAAATTAGATTTTTATTAAAACAAGCGTCTTTCTTTGAAAGATTTTCGGCATTTGATGGAAATACTTAAGGAGTAGAAAGTTCAACGCAAGTGGCAGCATGCCTCGCCTAAAGTCAGAAAGAAACAAGGACTTCTTATTTTAGGCATGTATTTGGGATGCCAATACACAATACTTCCACATGAAGCAATTGGGTAGAAATCAATCACTGTGGTGGAATTAGTGGACCCAGGAGAAACCCCAAGTGGAAAAAACAACCTTTAAACAATTTTATTTTTTGTAGGTTTTTTCAGTCTTTAGATGTTTCTAGATTAGGCTGCTTCTTGCCAAGTTGCTTCAACTGGCAATTCAGATGATCTAGACTGTGATTAACATTTCTAATAAAACGCTAAGAATTATCTATATGTTATCATGGCTTTGATCAGACAATTATGAGTGATTCGTGCATCTTAAAACATGAGATTAGTATGTGGCAACTGTGTGCTCCTAATGATGCTAATCTGGTACAAATGCAAAGTAAAATGGATGAGCTCAAACAACTATTTACAATACCTTGATGGATTTCTGTTTTAGTTGTCTCACTTTACTTGATTAAGAAGATATATATGGTAAGGCAAGGGGAAGTAACTTTTTCATAAGAGCTATTTCAGATGCTTTGTGTTATCTGATCATACCCCTGAATCAGTGGTAAATAGGAACAATATGTTCTGTTTTTCATGGCCTAGACTTAAAAACATTCATTCTCAATATGCATCCATCACTGTTACTGATGTTAAAAGACTGTCTAAATATGACCAGAGCTGTATTTGGAGAATTGTTTTATGAATCAAATGAAAAAGATACATTCCTCATAGACTGTTACATATCAAATCAGATGAAACAAGTGAATAGCCTTGATTTTTTTTTTAAATGTATTTTCTGAACGGTTTAGGTTTTTCTGTATGATCATTTCTCAAACACAATAAATGATCATATAGCACAGATTGAACTAAACAAGGAAAATATTTCCTCATAATAAGGCCCTACACTAAGAATAGACATGCACATACCTGCTCAGATCTGTACGTGTTCAAACAAAAGTGAAAGTTCAGCTGTATTCTGTTTGGTTGGCAGTCATAGTCAAATCTAAATGCTAATTCATCATGATCAGCTGAAGTGAATGCTTCCCATGTTTTTTTTCAGTGTAAGTATGCTGCAGGGGATTTGGTTCTTTTTAGAATTTTAATACATCATTTTCAAACTGTAAAACTAATTGCATTGCCTAATATGTAGGCATTACAATTTATAATGCTGTACTAAATATTGCGATGCAGCCTGGCCAAGGAAGAGCAAAAGGTCTAAGATCTGATTTCAGCCTCACTAGAACACAGATATGTTAATGATCATTAGAACTATATAACTGGGATATGAATAGCCAAATGCTTAGATTACAAGTAAATGTCCTCTCTTCGTTTAATTTTTTCCAATCACGGGAGATTTTGTGGAGGAAATTCAATTTACATATACTGTTTCTGTGTTTCAGCTCTAAGTTCAGCAGTAAGATACAGTATGTCAGCACATTGGCAGAGCTCTGTGAGATGATTCCAATGGAATATGTGCACATACCAGAGAGTATTGTCAAGTAAGTGGTGTCCTTGTGCTAATGGAAAGTATTTCCACTAACTAATCATGCTGTCTACTAGCCAGAAGTATAACCAGTTTTCCTTTCCAAGTCCTATTTAGGCATAGTAGTGTTTGAGAGTCTGTAAGAAAATTTAAAAACTTCTACGTGATTTTATTACAAATACTCAAGTTTTGTTCCACAAAAATTCCACTATCAAACTCTGAAGCAAGAAAACATTGTCACTGAAAAACAAACCAGAAGAAATAAGTAATCCTAAGGGAACCAAAGTTTATAGGAAAAGGAAAGTTTTGTACTGGACCAAATGATACAGTTGGTAAAATGAAGACAAACTTCCAGGCTCCAAGTCCCTTCGTCACACTTATGACTATATAATCAGAACTGGAACAGACTGTTCACTCACTAATTGTAACCCAGAAGGAAAATAGGAAACCTTAACCCTTCCACAGGTATCCCTTATCCCATATTTTTCCATAACTTTTAGCACTAGGTCTTACTGTGCTTTTAGGTTTTAGTCATACAGAGCTTTGAACTGAAACAATAATTCAAAAGATAGCAGTTCAGTAGAAACCCACTGAAAGTCCATAGGTTCACCGTTCCTTTTCTCATTGATTTGTTGTGATTTAACCCGTAACCAGAATTGAAAGGCAATGTCTCAGTTCTTGCCTTTTGTGTGTAAAGGTTTTCTAAATGCAAATATTTCTAAAGGAAAGATATCTATTAAAGAAATTGTAACAAGAAGTTGATCTGAATTCCTCACCTCACTTGGCTTTTTTTCAGACCTGAAAACAACAAACTGAAATGATATACCAAGCTTAAAAACCTTGGAAATCAATCACAGTGGGTCATTATAGGTCATTATTCCAAAGATACACTGTCAAGGAATGCATTATTTTTTACTTCTGTGTGTCAAGTGTACCAGGTTTTGAACAAATGCAAAGATTCTGTCCTAGAAAGTGTTTTGATGAGTAAATAGGCAAGTATCTGATTATCTTTTCCTTACAGTTTATCAGTGACTAGGTATGAAGAATACTTCTTTTGGAGCTGTCACAGATCTCTTCAACCCAGGCAGGAGTTTTCACATCTGCCCCACAGTAGTTATGAAAGCAGCACAATTTTCTTCATCAAACTGGTGGTTGCTTTGACATTAAATCCTCTTGTGCTGTAATTCCAGGGAGCAAGTGGGAAGCTCAATTCTGCAGCAGCACTTGTGAAATTAGTAAATTGCCATCATGAAATTGGGGGGTCATAGGGAGTTTCAATCAAATTTATTTGCTTCTGTAATTACTTTATAGGTAGAGTGATTGCAAAGAATTTAGAGTAAGAGGTGCTATGAGGTATCACCTGATAAAAAGATGTCCAGAATATTTTAACATCCCTAAAATTCTTTTACCCTTTCTTCCTCCCTTCTTATGATTCCTGAAACATTCTAGTTTCTTATAGTTGCCTCTGATAAAGACCTTAACCTGATACTTTAATGCTTTCTACTCTTTCTACTTCCTTGCTTTGTTTTATTGTTACACTATGATGTCTTTTATTCCCTGTACACCAAAACCCCTTGGAAAGTCTATTCACCTCTCAGACCAAAGGTGAAAGGTTCCCAGTACCAAAGGAACTTTAGGACTTGGAGCTTAAGAAATTTTAGGGAACTGCTTACTTCTTGTCATCAGCTGCCAGATGACAGATCTTGATTGCACTGAAGAAAAAAATGAAAAGGTGACTAATGTGCCCATTGGTGGCAAGCGTTTTAAAGATGTTGTGGTATGAAGATTTAGTGGATGTCTGCATTCAAGGCACTGTGAGTGGATATTCCAATGTCAAAAGGGAAAAGAGCAGAGATCAGAGCAGAGATGTGTTCCAGCTGGTAGTTTTATTTCTGCTTCAAATTGAGAAAGATTCCTATAGCAAAATAAAATGCAGCTTTCAGCATTCTATTTGCTCCACTGGCAAGAATAGAAATACCACTATGGTCACAAGGAATTCCATCTGTAGAAAGTACATAGGTTTATGCCAGGATTTAGTTTTTTTTGTGGTGGTTTGGTAGTTTTTACTGAAGTGAGATACAGTCTGCCTATTGTATCATACAAACTTGTACATCTTTTTTTTTTTCCTTCACTCACTCTTATCTTGTAAGGTATGATGAAGAGAAGTGTTTTAAGAGAAGAATGAGGTAAAACTTGCTTTCTAGTCCGTGCTACTGCTCATAATGGAGTAAAATTGTGTGATGCAGCCTTCTACCTGAAGGTGACCTCAACAGCTGAATGAGAGAGGCCTTGCAATAGTTTGCAATCTTACTTTCCCCTTCAAGCTATTGAGATCAGCCTCCTTTGCAAGTAAAACTAACTAAACTGTAAATGCCCTTGACTTGGCCCAGGCTGCAGCTAATCTAATTCTATCTGATGGAGCAACTGAACGCTTTCAGCTCTCTCCACTGAGCATGCCTCAGATCCCTACTGCTTTTATGTTTCTGTTTCCAAATGAGCTAAATAAGGAGTTACAAATTAAAGGTGGGTTAAGAACAAGAGTAAATGCTATCATATTGAACTGAAGAGCTTTAGGGTCAATGCATAATAGTGGATGCCTATTTTAGAAGCATGTACAGTATTTGTTCTTTGCTCTGCTATTGCTCTGCTTCTCTCTTATGCTTTGCTTGCTTCTTTGTTTCTTTATATCAATAACTTTTACTCGCGCAGACTGGATGAAGAGCTGGGGAAGCTTCAGAAACAGCTAAGAGTTTTCAGCTAGATGCTGGCATTGTATTTGTTTGGTTCACAGGAATGGATTGAATGCAACAGTATGTTACATGTTTGATACAGCAGTCAGCTCATAGTTTCAATTACAGTGTAAGTTGCCACATTTGTGAATTGACTTTCCCTCTCACTATAAGCAGCCTGTTTTTTTACAGTTGGGTCTCAGTAACGAATAATCATATTCTTAGACTATAAAAAACATTTTTGCTAATTTTGATGAATGTTTCTACAGTCACAGGGAGGACTGAAATCACTTTTTTTACTCAAAGTGGTTCATTAAACATTTTCTCTCTTTTGTCCATTATGTCAGATGATTCATATAATTTTTAGGAGGCAGTTCTTAAAACTGACATTTTACAACAATTTACTAAGCTAAGGACTGCTATTTGTATCTCATGTTCAATTAAGGCAGTCCTGTCTTTCCACCTGTTTGTTGGATGGGTCGATGGATTAATACTTGATAATACTGCATTGTCTAAGGTCCATTAATAAATCAGTGTCTCAGCTGATGATCAGATACTTTAAACACCTAAGTCTGTACTCCGACTTTGACATGCTGAGGCAGAATGTGATAAAGTACCATAGAAATCCTTAATTGGAAGGATGCAATCCTTTACTTGCTAAGCTGAGTTTAGAAAGAATTTACCCAGGGGCCTTTCTTTGTGCGTGCATTGTGCACAGGATTCCAGAGCAGGGAGCTGTGTTGGTGGTTTCTCATATGACACTTCCCCTGGGGTTTTTGTAACCTAAATTTCTGGTTTTGAAGTTTATTTTCAGTCTCTTACCTTTAACTTGTGTATTTCAGAATTTCTACCTTACAGCTCCTTCTCTTTTTTTTTTTTTTTTCCCTGATGTCTCCACTTTTGTGGTACACATTTGCCTCCAGTTCTCCTGAGCTTGGCCTTTAAAATCACCAGAGAGAAATGCCACAGAGAAATACCCCAAACACTTGCCACTACTTCTTGATTCTAGCACTTAACTGCCTAAGAAGCAAAAATTCACATAAACAATTATCCGATACCACCTGGCTATTTTATTAACCAAAAGGAAGGAAAAAACCCAATGACCCATGAAATGTAACTTGTATGCCTTCTATTCAAATATTTTCAAATACATTAGGATATATGACAATGAAAAATGAAAGAAAGCTGCTTTCTTTTTACCCGTTATTTAAAAGGATGCAGGCTACAGCATAGCAGTGAGAGAGGAACTAAATATTCTTATGTGGCATTGCTGATCATTGTTATTGTTAAATGTCTGATGTCACTGTAGTGCATTCCCCATCCTCAACTTATGGAAATAACTATAAACAAGTATTACTCAAATTAATCCATGTTGCAGGCACTAAGCTTGTTACATTCCTATCAATAATGTTTGTGTGTTTGCGCAGTCACAGATATTCACTGCAGTTAGTTATTACATCCCCCAAATTTGATTTCATATCTAAAAAGAGAAAGAAATAAGCACAGAAGAAATGTTTACTACTACCTCTTTTTTCCTTGCACCCAGAACTGGTTGCCTCTCAAATGATCCAGAAATGACTTCAATGGAGCAGGAGTAAGAATTTATGCCTGATAATATCATTACACTTTAACATTATTTCACAACCATGCAGTTAGGAACTGAGGCTGGGTAGACTCCATGAAGCCTTCTGGAGACCTAAACAGTTTCATATTTTTTTTTCAGCAACTTTATTCAATATTTGCAAGCAGAAAAAGTGCTGAAGTTAAGGTTTATTATATTTGCATTGCAGAGGTGTTTAAAGTTAAAGACTCTTGTCAGAGATAGATACAATTCTTAGCCTGAAGGATATTCAGGTTAAGTTGTTTGAAAGATGGAGAGAAAAAGTGCAACATGATCAGGGTGAAGTTGATCATGTGTGTTATGCTCCATTAAAGGTGGTAAACTTGCTGTTCTAATTCTGAGATTAACTTAAGCAAACTGTCAATGCAGAAGTCTTCCCTCCGAGTGCTGGATCATGCTCTCAGTGCCTTCCTCCTTTGCTTTTTGTGCCTCTCAGCTTCTTTCACACTTATTTTCCCCAACTAAACCTCTGGTGTCTTTTTGTCACTCCCTTTCAAAGCCAGACAGGTTTCCTCCTGCTAATGCCGTAACCCAGGTGTGCAAATGGGAAACCTTGCACCACTCTTACTGTGCCTCCTGGCAAGTGTGGACTGGGGAAGAGTGATGGGAGGCTCTGCTGTCCCCACCCATCTCACTGGGATCTCGAAATGCACTGGTGTATCACACTGGTATGCTACTCAGTATAGTAAACTTGACTCTTCAGTAAAAGGTTCCATCAATAACATGAGTATAAATGAGATATAATGAATAAAATGGAGCTTTTTTTGTCATTTTTTCAAATAAAGTTATACTCTAATAAACTGTCCCAGTGTTAAAATTCATACATATGTCAGGACTCAAAATTAAATTCCTGATTCCTACTATTAGACCAGTTGGCATAAAGCCACTGAGCAGCCTTTTTTTTTTTTTTCTCAGACACAATTTATTCTATAATTAGTCAACGTGAGAACTATTTTTTTAAATATGGTAGCAGTAATTAAATAACATATTAAAGACTATTTATTTATGATTTTGGCCTTTTGTGGCATAAGCAATTTTTCTGTTTTTCACAAAAAAAGAAGCTGGGCAGCAAAAAGCAATATGAAAAGACACTTTTTATTTAGCTTGAATAAATAAGGATTGGGGCTGAATTAATGTTAATTCCTGCTATTTTTTTCCTGTCTGTATTTAGAAGCGGCAATAATTTTCCTGTGGTCATATCATTCATTTCTGATGTCTTTTCCTCAGGAAATAGGATTTCCCTTGTAAATGCCACTACAATGATGACAGTATTTTTACACAGACTTGTTCTTATGCTTTCTGCTAGAACCTCTCTGGAGTATGCCCAGCTCTTAGTTTGCTTCTGTTTTCTTTTTTATATCTATTCCAAAGGCTTTTGTTTGTTGTCATGCTTTCTTGTTTACTAGAATTTCTTGCACTACCTGATGACTTTTTAAAAATGTTCTTTATGAAATAATCCACAATAAAGAATTCTGCATGTTCTGTAACTGACAGTGACCTTCACAGGTCATAAATATTCATGTAGGTATGTATTCTATGAAGGAAAATTGTATTTTGATGCAGTGTTTATGATGACAATTTCTTATTCTAAATACTTCTAAAGAATTGGATGACATGTTCTTTGCACTAAATGGCAAAACCATAGTCCTAGAAACATTTTTAGAGGCATCCATATCTTACTCATTTCCACATCTGGTATCTAATTCTGCTCATGTTGGAGTTGCCGGGAATGTAGCTATTGATTTCAAGAAAACAATAACAGGTCTTATCAAGGTCTGAATTTTCCATATAAAGTAGATAGATAGGATCTACGTAAATTATTTACAAGAGTAGATAATAATTTACTTGTGTATAAATACACAAGTAATAAATACATAAATAATTTACTTAAGTAAATGAGCAATGAGGGTGCTTAATACTTTGCACGCACCGAAGTTTGGGAAAATCAGTAGCAATGTGTTTCAGAGCACTGTTTGTTTTGTTTTGTTTTTAATATGTAGTATTGACATGAGGCTGAAATAAAAAGCATCGCTTCCAGGCATTTGAAGAAGAGGGTTGGCTTGGACTTTCATCACTCAGACGCCCATGGCCATGGTGTACAATAGGCAGTTTGGTTCATTTTATTTGTTTTACAGTTCTTCAGTGCCATTCAGCAATCCAAGAAAAGCAAAAGGGTCAATCCTGTTGCCATGGAAACAGCAGAACTATAGTTTGGATTAGGAGCTGTATCATCTAGCATTGGTTTATATAAGTGTGTGCAATTTCTGTTTAAAATTATTATACTATTTTACCAACAATGTGCCTTGTGAATGAGTCAGTGAGGATGTAGTTTTGTTTCATTTTTGTCTTCAGCATATTAATGTTTATGCATAACTAAACAGAATAGTTGTTATTACAATAAATATTAGCCTAGTTTGTTTCACAAAGCAGCTGCAACTTTATTATTTTAAAAGAATTTGAGAAATGATGCAGGGTTTTTTTGAATGAATCTGTTTCTTGCTGTCTGAAAAGTCTTTCCATGTTCACTTAACCCTACTGACTTTAGTTTGGTCACAGAAAAGCCTAATATATTTAAAAATTAGCCATTAAAGAGACTTCCTAGAAGACAAATGACTAACTGAATTTTTTTTTAATAATTCATTTTAATATTTTCCATTTTTAAGAATAGCTTTTAAAAAACTAGCTAATACTGTAAATGTTTGTCATATATTTTGAAAGCCTTGGAACATTGTTTTCTTATTGTTGGTTTTCTAAACCTGTTTTTCCAGACCTTTTTTTTTTTTTTTTTAAAGTTATGAGCCTTCAAATGGCCTCTTAACTCAAATAATAAAGGCTAATAATGCTATGAATGTTAAATAAATACTTAGTATTTCCTACTAACAACTGAAGGTTAAATATATAAATCTACAGTTGGGTGGCATGATCATTTGTTAGGACTAGATGTCAAACTATTATTCAGAGTATGTTTAATATCAGAAAATAAGTGTTAAAATGCAGTTTGTGTGTATCATGGTATACACCAGTATAAACAAGAGGAAAAGAAAAACAATTTCTTTGCTGCTGTCCTGCATGCTGGTGCAGAAGATGCTGTAATAAGTCCTGATTCTCAAATGGAAAATAGCTGCAGTGTCTCAGACCATTGTTTTGCAAGAGAGTGCAAAGTAATACTCAGGTTAATTCTGCTTGTTTCCTTTAAAAAGAGAAGAGTCAAAAACTGGATAAACCTTTCTCTTCCCCTAACACATAAACACATGCACGCAATCCCAAACCTGCTGACTCACCTTCCTTTTGGGATGTCCTAATGCAACTAACAGTATTATGCACTGTCTGAAATATTATTCTTAGATTCAAGAGATTCTCATATGCCCTAGAATTACATCTGTGAATTCTCTACTTTGTCTGTAAATAAGA